GTTTAAATGTCTGTCATATTACAATAATACATCAGAATATGTCACATTTAATGATGATGTACATGTTATGGGGTAAAGAAATTGGTCTTGAATCTGTTCATCTCTGAGTTATCACATTGAAAAATAACAAAAACAGTAGTGTTTTCCTCGGGTTGCACCTTGTGCTTTCTCAAAAGTAGCCTGACACAAACAATTGATGAGTAGAACATTTATATCTACAAGTTTATGTATGAAATTCACTTAGCTAGCTTTGACTCTTCACTCGCTCTACATAATCCTTAAGGAAGGTATGTAGAACTTAGCTAATCTTACACAGATCATGAATGTGTATTAGTTTAGCTAATAGATTTTAATTAGCAACCAGGTAGCTTTGGAATCATATGCAAGTAAATGATTGTACTTTTTCAATGATTCTGAATGATCCTTACCATTTTTGATAAAACTGAAATTATTTTGAAGACTGAATGAATACGGAAGTGATGACAAACCTAACAAATGCATAATAATGTTACGCCTACAACTGTCATTTTTCAATCTGACATGTAATCAAAGAAAATGATTGTAAAATGTTAATAGGGGAAGATAAATAAGGCACTTTGACCTTTTAACATCTTGAATAACTTTAGTTCAAACTTTAGCATTTGTTAAAAGTCAAAAAGTATTATCATTTACTGGAGGGGACATATATTGGAGAGGGGGAAGGGGGAAGGGGGGGGGGGGTGTTCAGAGGCTTGATATAAAACTAACCAAATCTAAAAAAAGTTAGATCAGACAAATGTAAAAACACTAGGAGCTTTATTTCTAAACAAACACATGCATTTATCTCTGTTTGCCTATGTAAATAACTACAAACTAAATAAGTCCCTGCTGTGCATCTTTGCTGAAGGCCATCTTACAAATGAAAGTTCATGATAATAAAATTAGATTGAATATGTTTCAAATAATAAAATCAGAGAATAGATCCAACAATTTTCTTATTTCATTCTATGATTTCAAGTTGATTTTTCCTTAGGTTCGGAAAATTATGAAGAATTAAAAAAGGCAAGAACTTTAGTTAATAGTCAGATATGGCTGTTCAACATGACCTTACAGATTACTCAAAAGAATTTTTCAGTATATCAGCAATATGCATCTTTTCATTTTGGCATATTTAAAGACAATTTCACCTACAAAATCCAGGAAAATTGAGAAAATTAGAAGAAGTCATAACACAAAGCATCTAATAAACATTATGGATAGCAAACATTCCATGGTCTTTGGTGGTCAACATATTAAGCTTTAAATATCAGATTTGCTTCAGGCCAAAATTTAATAGCATTTATTTTTACGTGTCACTGCCACAAACTACCCAATTCAAATGCCAAAGGTAAAATATTACCGGCATTTCAGATTGCAAAGTTCAGAATTTGAATCAGACAAGTGTATAAGATGTCCTCTTGCCCACATATGTTATTAGTGACCCTAGAATGAAGGAAGGAGACACAACATGGATTTGAGACTTGGATTTTAGGATATAACATATGTACTGGTACATGTGCCTTACATCTGCCCTTATACATCCCCCTTGACCATCTCTTGCTATATTCTCCCTCATAATTATTTTGTTGATCTAGTTTAACATTTTTTTAAATGGTAACCCATGACTTTTGAGCAAATACATACTTTTTGCACAAAAAATTCAATTCAATCAAAAGCATGATGATTTATGATGCCAACTAACTGAGATGACTAATATGATATTGTTCATAACTCTCACATGTGATCAGTATCGACATACCCAACCCCTCAATGCAAATGCCTTACAGTTCTATGTTAATTAAACTATCTTCAATTAATTACTCACTAGAGTAGCCAAGGTAAGTAAGTCAGTGTGAAACACACTGAGCTAATGTGATAACACAAACCTCCTAATTAAGTCCATCAACATTATATAATGAAAGTAATACATCTCAGATCTATTGAATATTTAGACCAATCAACTAGCTAAGTTAATTACCTATTGGTTATGATAGCAAACAAATAAAATGAAGGCACTCAGAGATAAATTAATTAAAGTTACACCTAATAGATACACCTCAAAATCACTCAACTCAATTAGTCATCAGATTTAAACTGTCCATCTTGTCTTTTTCTGAATACAAGATGAAAAACACAAAGGGCAATATTTGTAATTGCACAGATTTGAGTCACGGAGATAAGGCAGATTAACTAGATTGAAACATCAGACTTGGAGTAAGAATGTTGACAAAGTTCTGAGATTTCCAGAAACAACATGACAATAAAAGTGACAGTCATAACATTTCCATTTATCTACAGGGTGGCCCAGTCATGTTTTCTATCAACAAACAAATTAAAAGTCAATTGCAAAAGAAATGTGACAACAAGAAAAGTTATGCTGTGGGTCTACTTATAAAGAAATCTGTTAAAATCAATAATTTTGATACTTAATCTGAGAATTTCTGTTTTCAGGATTTCCAAGATGATTTTGGTCAGGTCTCTAACATGAGTTTGTTTACTTTACAGCAGGGTATAATTATGACCACACTTCATAGAGGCAACATTATCCTTCCTGTAATGACCATGTGTTTAACATCAGACTGTACATCCCCTTTAACTTGAAACAGGGAAATGTCCTGGAGATTTCACTGCTGGGAATATACTTGCAAACTGGCATAATGTAATGCCAATCAGGCAATAGTGACTCCAGGGGCAATAGCTTTGTTCAACCATGTCATTTGTTGGCCAAGACAAGTTTTGAGAACATAATTGACAAAAATTTCTAAAAATATCATAACTTAGCTCATCATAAATTCTTGCAGATTAGATATTAGATGATCTAGACACTAGAAAAGAACTCAGTTGGAAATCTATACTCTCTATTCAAGAATTAGTATTCCAGACTACATGCATGAGAAAAACGAGTGAAATTGATTGATCTAAAGAATGGAGAAGTATCTCTGATGCAAACAGTTCAACTCAAACCTTTACTAAACTCATAAATTATCTGTAGCCCATTGAGATCTCAATTCCCACTTGAACTTGTGTTGAAGTATCAATTAATACAGCATCAAAGTGATATCACACTCTTAACTTATCAATAACACAAATATACACCCCTGTAAGCAGCTATACATCAATATATGACACTATAAAAACAAGTACTTTTTATCCCAAAAATAATGATGGTGGTTGCTGAAAGCGGTGGTGAGCCATCTAATTTTGATAAACATGTATGATCCTTGATGATGTCAGCGGGAGGGCTATAATATTTATCAAATTATTACAATCATGATATTTTAAATTAATGATTAAGGAATATACACCACAGGCAAAATATTTCTGTACAAACTTGAACTAATCAGAGACATGTGAAATATGGACTTAGTCTTTCTCAATTTAATGCCAACCACAAAGGATCTAACCATCAATTATAAAATTATATTGAAATTATTAATGATAATTACATTTTTGTGAAGTGCAATAATTTGAATATGCTATTGAGTGCATTGAGAAAATGGCCATGTGTCATTTATGTCATGATAGATACCCTGGGCAAAATGTACTAATTGTCCAGATGGTAAACAGTATATGTTTTTCCAGAAATACATGTGGGTGTCACTGCAGAAGTGTCTACCTTAGAATAAATGGTTTCAATATTCTAAGCACCTAATTTCAATTGAAAAATTAATTCCACACGACTGACTTAAAATGACAATGATATAATAAGAGTTTGTAGCTATTTCAGGAGATGTATTAAACGTATTTTTCAAACATACAATTATACTCTTTAATTACAAAAGTAAAGGAACATTTGGTCCACTTTAAATCATAATTATAAAGTAGCCACCCCCTCTTAGAAACACCTGGGACTTCGCTCATAGAAATCTGATTTCCTCAGGGTCACTCTGACCAGATATTTAAAACTACCAGGTAGCGACTTATGATATTTGTTCAGAAATTTAAGTGAACCAAAATATATTTAAACAAAGGAAAAAACAATGCTCTGTTTCAAACCAATTAGGATTATAACTTGATCTGATGTAATGTTTATATAGACCTTTTACAGTGGATGATCAGATAAAGACACCACTTGATTTTATAATAACAAGCAGGTGAAGTGATCGAGGGTTGATCAATTAGTTCTCATAATATCTTTTTAATTTCTTTAATTTTAATATATTCTAATGAATTTTTCATAGAATGTGAAGCATAGAATGACTTACTAATCCAGCAAAGAAAGTTTAACAATTAAACATAACTGAAAGATCTAATTAGAAATGGTTGCCAACCCTTGTATATATCCTCAACCTATAGTATGTGGGAAAGAAGAGAGTGAAAAAACTTGATGCAAGACTATCAAAAATTGTCATAATTAAGACGACTTGCACAATGCCTAAGACTATTATATCCCAATTTGCTCATAAGCTTAGAACAAGTAGGTCTACAACAATCAGACGCCAGTACTGCTCCCTAAATTCTGATTATGTTTACATGTGTTATTATCTGATTAGAGATTCTGGAAAGTTATTTCTGAAATCTTTTGTGGGGATTTTGCTTTAGGTAGAGATTACCCCTATAAATGTGGGGTTGATTTTTCAAATCCCCCCCAAACAACTGCTTGTGAATGGAAATCTTGGGGTTGAAAATAAGCTAGCTTAGTATGGTTATATAGATCAAATTTAGCTTGATGTCAACTACTGACAACATTTTAAAACTATGTGATTTGAAAAATCAACCCCACATTTATGGGGGTAGGTAGAGATCTGCAATACAGAATTTCTGTAAGTCTGTGGCATTAGGAGTGACGTAATAGAGCCAATAGATGAAAATAAGATTTACCAATATGAGAACATACATCACAGTTCAGAGTTTTCATTTGTCTTTCATTTACGCTTTAGATGTGGAGTTCAATCTCTACTGACAATATGCTACAATAATCTGTCATTTAGTGAAAAACAATTGTTGCTAGATCTGGTGTGATTTGGTTCATTTTCACTCACCTTTTTAGTGTATGGTTCTTTAACAAGGTCAATGCTATCAGCTAAAAGCCTATCACGAATGATTGCAAATAACTGCAGCTTTGGGAAATCAACAACTGCCTGTTTTCCTTCGTCATAGCCATCCAAACTAACATTGCAAGCGTTTTGAAGATCCTCATCATTTTGGTTATTTTGTGGAGATGAGTAAATCGGAGCGTTGGCTTCTGCATCCTCTATCTCCGGTTCAAGTGTAAAATATATCGGAGCCGCCCCATTTTCACGAAGACTTTTGACTGCAGATAATATATCTTTCCTTTCAGATGGTATAACAACTCCTATTGCATCCAAATCTGGTTCGCCAATGTGTTTACAAATTTCCAAATTATCATACCCGTTATCGACGAAAGCTTGAATATGATGACCAAGTTTCAACGATTTTAACCACTCGTGTAGAATGTTATCCGCCATTTAAATTTGTTGTATTGCAAGAATATACATCAAAAATGTTGCCTGCTATCAATTCCTTGTATTTTGAGCTCTGCATTTGAAGAAATCAACTGATTTAACAAGACGACTGAAATTTTGCAGCTCTCCCATCGTGGTTTGTGATGATCACGTGACCGAACAAAAATGACGTCTAAGGGGTTTCCCCTTTGAGAAATCCTTTTAGTTCAGCTACGACATCTATAAAAGTTTATGGGACTTATTTTCATTTCTTACACGGATAGTGCTCAAGGAAAAGTCTAAAAATACAGCTTAAAATATCAATTTCGAAATTTAGACGAAGTTGATCCTCTATTGCTTGGCTTGACTCGAAAAATGTAAACGTTTTCTAGGTACCTCAGGTCCGTTCCGACTTGAAGAGGGCACTGGCGGATCTGGGGGGGGGGGGGGGGGGGGCTGGGGGCCCCCTTGGGTTGGCCCAGAAAAAAGCCTTAAGGCCCCAAAAAGTGGGCCTTTTTGGTCATCACTGGGCCCTTTGAGACCTTATTTTTTAATTTCAGGCCAAATTTTGAGGAAAATGGGCCTCAAAATTTGGGCCCACTTTTGGGTTTTAGGGACCCACATTTTTTTCTCCGACCTGAAATTTGCCCCCCCCCCCCTTTGTTGGTTCCTAGATCCGCCCCTTGAGTGTGGGGCAGTGGGGGTGATTGTCCCTTTTCCATGGATTTGGTGCACGGTATGGTAAAATATTAGCTGTCGGTGTTCCACGGATTCTTTTGTAGGCCTAGTAAGATCAGAAGCTCAATAATTATCTTCGATTATTTTTATATACGTAACGTTTGGAAACTTATATTAGTTATGATAACGTCACTTAAAAGTATTTATTACAGGTCGTGTATAGCATTCATTGTTGCTTGAATTATAAGCAAAAACATCGACTTGTGCACGTTTGATGTCGTGATTTTGACTATCGGAGGATTGACCTTACACTTCGGGGCAGTGATAAGTCTCAGATATACAAATAAAGACCCAGAGGTCACCCAATGCAGACAGAGCCTGTGGGAAATATTGGGTGCGGAGCAAATGAGCGGAGGGTGCGGAGCTAACGGTCATTTTTTAAATATTGGGTGCGGAGGAGCTCCATAAACGTACCTCCGCACCCAATATTTAGAGGGGGCTCATATCTGAAGAACATTTCCGAATTTTTATAAAATCACAGATACTGCCTGGCTTCCAAGATGCAAAAATAATTTGCATGGGTAGTGTATCTTGAACACCATTTTTTATGAATGCTGGGGACGCAGTATTAAAAGGATAGTCTCAAAATATATAGGTCTGGGAAATGTTTAAGGCATACTGCGTCGCTATAAAATGAATTGCACTACTATTTTCACAATTTTATTGATATTTGGTGTCAAATACACATATCTTGGTATATTTTAAGTCCCAAAACGGCTTAGTTTCAGAAATATCCCAATTTTAAATTCAAAAATGACCGTTAGCTCCACACCCTCCGCTCATTTGCGCCACACCCAATATTTCCCACAGGCTCTGTCTGCATAGGGTGGAGGTGCAATAATGCAGGTGCATTTCACTTAATTTATCTCTCAGATAAAATAAATATAGATAACATAGAATAGAGAAATAGAGAAATAGAATAAATTATATTTATTCAGGGTGCAGACGTAGTATTTTTGAGTATTATTTAATGTCACGCAAATATTGTCTTTAATTTTATTGATCTAGTCTTTACTAAATCTTTTTTTTGGCCTTTGAACGTTTGGAGTTTGTGATCTTCGTCTCATACACTCGGGGCTATTCCCGGGGGGCTATTGTACTTGACTGTCTTTAAACGCTGCTGATTGTAAAATTGTTTGAAAATCCTAGAATGGTACTTGGACTCATCTCGGGCATCATTGAGGGCCAGCTTGCATTCCTCAAGTTCATTGGGCTGACAATACGATGGCCATATTCTGTCACTTTCGTACCATTAACTCGAATGTCTCTGCAACATTTTTATAACATTAAGTCGCAAGGAGGAGGGGGTAGATCATTTCGTTTTTTGATCAATGGTATTAAAAAAGTCAGTCTTGTACAAACAATTTTAATCAACAACGATGCTCACCATTACATGTACCTTCTCATCCATATCCCCATAGCCATGGGCCAAGTCAAGGTGATAATACAAATAATACCCGGGGAATGACAATTCAGCTGATCGAGAAAGCATTGCAGGGGATCTGTTGAATTACCACTTGGACAAATTGTTGGTCATGGCTGATATCAAAGGATGGGAATGTTAATTTTCGGAATATGGGGCATTGTGATTGGAGAAAGCCGAAAAAGCGTTTATTTCTTCCACCAATGAGCACCTCAGCTTATTCATTACCCTAAAATGAAACTACCTGGCCCAAACGAAGGGGTGGATTTATGCATGACTGAAGTCCTTTGAAGAAGGATGAGATACCGGGGGCCTCGAGGTTCCCCTGGTCAAAACCTCCCCCAAATTCATTAATAAGATTAGATGAAATTCAAATATTGACTACGATTCATATATCATGTTGCGTATGGTCTTGCTATCATGTGGTATGTCTACATCGTGAGATATCACAGCCTTCTCTCAGTTTCCTTCTAGTGCATAGCAGAGGTGGTCTGAGTATCATAATGGTATGTCTACGGTCTGCGGTAGAAGCAAAATTATTCATCAGGTTGATGACATAAAACAATTGGCCATTTAAATTGACTCCGTAATAAAAAAAATTCTGGTAAGTTAGGAATTCGCAATGACGCATCGGTGTTCTTCTAGAATCAATGTTTTATGAAGTGTATTTTTAAAATTTAAATCTCAAACAAAATAAGATTTTTATTTTACGATTTCAAAATGATGACGCAAATCAATATTTCAATATAAGTTGCAGGCCTATTACTACTAAGCTAAATCTCAAATAAAATATGCCGGTTCAATAGTAACAGAATGGAATCGTTTATGTAAGTTCTGAGACGAATATACTCTTTATGTTCTCAGCTAGGATGAAGAAAAGAAGAAATAGGAAAGTTATATACTTTTATGATTAACTATTTAATCCCCGGATTTAATCGTGCTGAGTCAATTTTTATTTGGGTCACAAGGGCAAACTAGTGACAAAAAGCCGCTTTACAATGATTAGAAGTCCATGGCGTACTGACTACTGTCCAAACCGTGAAAAGATCACCAGACGGTCATAACTCGAATTCCTATTTTCTGATCATGAAGACAGGCATATTTCTTGGATCCATTCATTATCATAAAGAAAAATATATACAATGATAATTAAGTCAATTAGTCAATTCTAGGGAGTCTATTGCCGGACTCAGTTAGTAAAATAGAACCCCAATATTGCATGAGAAATCCTGGCTCAAAATGCATGTATTAAGCATACAATCCTGGCAATCCATATATTCATATGTCTTTTATTATATCTGATCCGAGACATATATTTTTGAAATAACTCGAAATAATTCTCTTTTCTAGTTACATCATCATCATCATCTCTTGAAAGCCCATGGCTACATTGATCGATTGATGAATGATGTCGGCAACGGATAGAGACCCGGGGAATCGTTGATGGAGAGGTTCGTACTAAACGAAATGCTAAGAAGATTGCATTCTCGAAAAAATCCACATCATCAGATGAGATTTCTCGAGAGTGAAAATATTATGGTAATCAGGGCTCAATTATGCTTTCCTATAATAATATGAGATATCGCAGTGCACATATTCATATGTCTTTTATCATTAGTGTTGTCTATACACTTTTCTCTGCTCGTATAATAGTTGTTCAATGTGTTTACCTAAACGAGATTCATTCTTAAAAGTCACGTGACAAAGTACTTCCTTTTTTAGCCTCCACTTTCACAGAGGAAACATGTCAGCACCACAGCCTATTGTTCTCCGCGGTATAGTAAAACAGGTAAGTTTTTGACTTTATTCTCTAATCCAATGTATTCATGAAGTATTCAAGCACATGTTAGCGATGTTTAGTGACTTTTGTTGTTTTACTTTTGAAGATATTGACTTTGAAATATTCCATATGTTTCATTATTTTTGCCTTTCATTAAAAATCAAGTTTCAACGATTCATCGAAAGGAAGGATGATTTCCTGGAATAAGGTTAGCAGTATTACATGCAATGCCGTGTTCTTTTCATCTTGAATTGTAACATATTCATGAATTGATGATGATCAGTGCGTAAATTTCAATTTTAAAATATAACATTATTGGAATAATCTGTCTGTTTGGGAGTCCGAAAGTGTGTGGGGGGGGGGGGGGGTTGGTGCCACTTCACCCCTGTTTTCGAGCCAATCAAAACGAATTTCATACATGTAACTGAGACGCAAAGACGAAGATGAGAATTATGTGCTCTGGTGAAAGTGTTGGGAGAAGCTGAGGCTTTAGCTGCAAGTTATAAGCTATGATGATGGAGAGGTTTAGACGTAGACGTAACCTAAAGTCCATTTCACTGCTTCATTTCGTCAGTAGAACGGCAAAAATAAGAAATTGGGAGACCATTGTGCAATAGTATATGAAAAAGTATATTCATAATGTACATGAATGACATTTGTATATTTCAGATTTTTTAGTTTTTTGTGCAATAAGCCTGTGCCGTCTTGTAATTTGAAGAATTTCAGCCATGTTAATCTTATTGAAAATAACATGGCAGAGAAGCATCCAAATATAAGAGGCCACACACTTCATAAGCTAAACTAGAAGCAATCCAAGATATACAAATGTCATTCATGTACAATAGGAATATATTTTTCTATATATTATTGCAAAATGATATTTTGATTTCTTATTTTTTAGCTTTTACTGACGAAGTAAAACAGTGAAATGGACTTTAGTCTATATCCAATAGACTGACTTTATTGACCATTATGTCCCTCCTGTGGGAAAAAACAGGAAATTTCCTGCACACAATTATCAATTTTAGGAAACTTCACTTCCAAAAAATAAGCATTATAACAATTCAATTGAGTAGAAAGGTACAATTAAATGCTATTAAAAGTAACACATCATATTGTTAAATGGAAATAAACATAGAGGAAGTAACAAATATGCAAATTAATTTACCCAATCGGCCATTTTGAGTGGCACTTCCTATGTAAACAAATAATTTTTAATCCCAAATTTTAACATATGTGGGCTATAGTCTGAATATTTTCATTCCAAATTTCAAAACAATTTCAGACTAGTAGAGGATATATTATAGTCTAGACATAGCCCCTTGGAAAAATCATAGGGACACTTCTTCTATCTATTATAATTCCCCTTAGATGGCGATGCCCCAGTTTTTATGAGTTGGACTAACAGTTAACTGTTAGAAAAAGTTTTTTAGTCTTTCGAGTTGAATTTCTGTCAATATGGCAGTCAAAACAGACCTTAGCCTTCCCCTCTGTTACAATGTTTCCTCACTAAAAGGGCCATACTTTGTTTACTTAAGTCTAGATTCTAGGTCTCTGTATTTTGAATTGTTGTTTTGTTGATTGGTTTTACATTTGGACCATATCTTGTGAATGTTTACTTATAGATCCAGTCTGGGGATGCTGTTGTTGTGCGCGGACAACCTAAAGGAGGCCCACCCCTAGAGAAAACCATATGCCTCTCAAATGTAACTGCCCCCAGATTGGCACGTCGAGCCAACCCCAATCTCAAGGAATCTGTTGAAACTAAGGATGAGGTAAGATTTTAAGTTTCCTCTATAATTTTGGATCAGTTTGTATCTGTCTATTGACAACTCCAAAGGTACATGTGTATCAACCTATTTGAAACAAGTTTGACAATAAACATTTATTCAGTTGAACATTATTTTAAACCTTACCAAATAAGTCCCATATACTTATGTAGAGTGTCTTAATTTGGTTTTGTTTTTCAGCCATGGGCCTGGGAAGCCAGAGAGTTTATGCGCAAGAAGTTGATCGGAAAAGAAGTTTCATTCACTATAGAGTACAGCCCACCAGGTGTGTTAACATAATATGATCACATGATCTAGACGATTGCTTATAGTTAATAATTAACAAGACTAATGGTTCACATTTTGTGTTTATATTGAGAGTATTTGGATGTAAAGGTTTTATTGTAGAAAATAAATTTGTCTTTCAGGCACATCCAGCCGTGAGTTTGGTACAGCCAGCCGCGAGTATGGTTGCATATATGCAGGCAAAGACACCACATGTGAAAATATGACAGAGTCTATGGTAGCAGAGGGGCTAGTGGAGGTACGCCGCGGTGGCCTCAAACTTAATGATGAAAATCAACAAAGATTATGCGAACTGGAGGATGCTGCAAAGGCTGCTGGGAAAGGACGATGGGGTCCTGACCCACAGGCTCATGTACGTGATGTCATTTGGAATTTGGAGAATCCACGTCACTTTGTTGACTCCCATCATCAGAAACCAGTGGATGGTAAGTTCAAAGCACTCCACCCAAGATATATCTGACTGTTTTAACATTTATTGAATATCATATTGCAAATCAGCATATATTACTTTTTCCAATGAGTTCATGGAAGGCACAAGTTATTTACATCTTACGACAAAGTCCTTGAACCATGTCTTAGTCATGAGGCATTTTCAACTTGATATAGTGTTCTGTGAGGTCACTGATGTTTACTTTAACTCATTATTGTTATTTACTTTAATTACTTTAACTCTCTTTGTAATATTTCATCAATCACAATTTACAGAGTATTGCAGCTGAAATGTCGATTTCTTTGATTTCAGCTATAATAGAGCATGTGAGAGATGGGTGCACAGTGAGGGCATTCCTTCTACCTACAAACCACCATGTGACAATTATGATGTCTGGTATTAAAGTAAGTCTTCAATCAACTAACATAGTTTGTTTAATGGGCAGCTTGATACCTTAAATTTCCCATAATGGGGAAATATAATTTAGTAATTTTTTTATTTTTCTAATCATTATCCTGCATTGTTATATGTAATCAACTTATTAATAAATTAATTTTTGTATAGCCTGAAGCCTCACAATCAGTTAAGTTGCAAAATGTTTCTAAATCGTTGTAATAGTTCTTATTCTGTAATCAACAAGATAGTTTAATAGTTTACACAGCCTCAAATCATTATGCTTTTCTAAATCATTATAATGCAGTGTATTGTTTTTTTAATCAACTAGTTAATGTACAGCATCAGCTTTAGCATGAGTGTTTGATCCTTGCCTAAATCCTGGGAAATTTAATACAAGAAAATCACCATGCAAATCTAAGTTCATTTAGAAAAAAATATAAAAGTTATACACAGATTTGAAACATGTGACAAAGAGGAGAAAATTGAAGTGAATGGTTAAATATAAAAGGCTCTAATACGGGATTTCTAAGCTATCTAAGTTGCCATTTTCAGTTATATTGTACAGTTCTATTGTACATATACAATTCACGTTTCAGTGTCCCATGTTCAAACTTGAAGACACTAAGCAGGTTCCAGAGCCTTTTGCAGTGGAGTGCAAATACTTCACAGAATCACGTCTGCTCCACAGAGAGGTCAAGGTCATCCTAGAGGGTGTGTCCAATCAGAACATCTTGGGAACAATTATTCATCCCGTGAGTACTTTACTTGGAAGCTGTTTTAAATGATATGTTTTTTGTATGCAAGTTTTCAGTAGTATACATAAATCATGTGATTTGTAGGTCTGTAGTATGTCATAGAGGTCTCGTTCGATCCAATTAATTGTGTTGTGATTATAAGTAAAATATATTAAGTGGAACACTTCTTCCATAAGTGAAACACATCCATATGAGTTTACTATACATAGTTTTTCATTAACAAAGAAGTCTAAGTATAACGATCAACAATGCATTTGAATATATTGTATACAGAAAATTTATAAAGAACTTCATATGTTTTTAGAAAGGTAACATTGCAGAGTTTTTCATTTCCAAAGAAGTCAGAGTATAATAATCAACAATGCATCTGAATATATTTTAAATAGAATTTAAAAAAATATATTATTGATTTTTTTAGAAAGGAAACATTGCAGAGTTGCTCTTGAGGGAAGGGTTTGCAAAGTGTGTAGACTGGAGTATGGGGGTTGTCACCCAGGGGGCAGACAAGCTAAGAGCCGCAGAGAAGGCAGCTAAAGATGAGAAGAAACGACTCTGGATCGATTATAAACCATCAACCACCGCCACTATGGATATTAAAGACAAGAATTTCACCGGAAAGGTATTAAATACTGAACTGTGCATTAGCTTCACACTACTTAAATAAAATTCAAAAGTAGAGGTAATATGATGTCCCTTTGAAAATGAGCACACCATAATCTGCTGCATGGGAATCACAATTGCAGTTACCATAAAAATAATTTACGTACATTCAATTGTGAATTTGGAAACTGTAAAGTACTACAGTCTTCATCTGGTCAGAATTTGTATGAGGAAATTCTCACTCAGTTTAGAATAAGTCTGAAAGAGACTTCATATGAATCCAATTGCTTATAGATTGCATTTTCAATGACCAATCAGTGATACATATTTTTTCAAATTCCCATTTTTCAAATCTCTCAATTTGCAAGCTATTCACACTGTAATAATTGTGAGGAATATCAGAGCAGCCCATTGACAAATTAATTCATTTTAGGTTGTAGAAGTAGTGAATGGAGATTCCCTTGTTGTGAAGCAAGGAGACAAGTACAGAAAGATCTTCTTAGCCAGTCTTAGACCACCAAGGTAATCATTTGGGATAATTTTCTAAAAAATAAATGAAACGTAAAGAAGTGTATTTTATCAGTTAGTGCTCTATTGTATGTGGCAGGGAGTGTATTTTTGTCCAGGGATTTGGAGAATAATGAATAAAAACAACAATTTTGAGTTAATGACAGAATGTGTATGAAGTACTTCTGATGTAAACTCTGCTTTCTTATACAGGAGACATTCATATGATTATTAACTAATTGAAACAAAAGAACAGAAAATGTATTGTTGTAATTCCAGACCAGTACAACAAGAGGAAACAGAAGAGAAGAAACCAGTATCAAAGGCACGCACACGCCCTCTATATGACATACCATACATGTTGGAGGCCAGAGAATTTCTGAGGAAGAAACTCATCAACAAGAAGGTAAATGTTTTTTGAGAAGGTAATACTGATATTCATGGAGGTAAATAGGGGTGAGACGAGTCGAAAAAATCCGATTCGAGTCGAATCCGATTCGAGTCAGAAAATGACGATTCGAGTTTCGAATCCGTTTCGAGTCGCGAAAGTGCGAACAACATCGCTTTTGACCGTTCGTATTTTTAATGCGTCAATGGTGGAAAGCCGGAAATATAAACAAACACAATTCGTCGTAAGTTTATTCTGATTTTATTACATATATTCTTTCATTTATGTGTACATACAATATAATAATTTAATACAAGCATATCCAAGTCATTGAAACTTATATATTCAACGCAATATCGAGTAAAAACATGCATATTGACAGTATTTTTCTGAATTTTTTTTATTTTTTCGAATTTTTTTCTCAACTCGAAAATGATTCGATTCATCAACTTCGACTCGATTCGACTCGACTCGAAGCCCCAAACCCGCGAGTCCTCGACTCATCGGGTTGTCATCTCACCCCTAGAGGTAAATGATATCTCCTTTTGTTACTATCATGCCAAATATGGTCAAGTTTCTCTTGACGAGCCATAGCCCAATCTTGGGAGGGTTCAACTCACTCATTGAACAAAATCCGATTTGACTCAAAAATTACAAAAATCTTGAAGATCTTTGGATCTACTTCTACAGTGAAAACAACTGAAGTATTTTGTTCAAGAGTTTTTTCGAAATTGTGGTTCAATAATAATTTAAATTCTATCCACCTTTCAAACACCAATCATATTTTATTCGTTAATTCCACTTTTGTTATTATCACTTAAGGTAAACATCCAGATAGACTACATCCAGCCCCCTGCCCAGGGATACCCAGAGAAGACATGCTGCACAGTCACCATTAATGACATCAATGTAGCCGAGGCACTCATCTCTAAAGGTATAGAATAATAAATGCCTTAATTGGCACTTGGAACTATTCTCACTTTATTTGATATGACTGTGACTAGCTAACGTTTGCTCCCTCAGATTTTAAGAATGGAAATTCACCTTCCTTTGTCATGTCCAAAATTATGTACTAACAACAGATTTTCAAAATTTATATATATATTTTTTTTTTGTTTATTTTTTTCTCAATATACATTTTCATTACACAAGACAGGATACAAGTGATTTGCTGTGAGCCGTTATTACAAAAGAAATAGAAATACAAAGATACCAATTCGACACACAAACCCATTCCAATCAAAATTTATATGAATCCTAAGATTGCTCACAAAATTGCCAATATCTAGTTTAGGCATGGCCTACTGTTTTATAAAACATAATATGCACCCTTTGGTAATACCATGATGATGCCTTAATATATTTTGTGTGTATCTCTATTTAAAGGTCTAGCAACTGTAATCAGGTATCGCCAGGATGATGACCAGAGATCTGCCCACTATGATGAGCTTCTGGCTGCTGAAGAGCGTGCCAAGAAGAAGGCTGTTGGTCTACACAGCAAGAAGGAGCCACCAATTCACAGAGTCGCAGATGTCTCTGGGGTAGGTCTACTTCCCTAATGCACTTCTCTTCATCAATTTTCAGTACAGTGTATCAAGGTTTACTTCTCTGTGTGAATGCAAGTAAATTAAAGTGTACGTAGTTGTTTATCAGCAACTTATACTGAAATGCTGTTCTCTGTGATAGTTTTCAAAATACCAAACATAACAATCAGATTTTAACATAAACTCTAAACTCTGATCATTATACCAAAATGTACTTCTCTGCATTATCAATAAAAATTCTACATGAACTCTCAATTTTACGTTCATTATGCCAAAATGCTGAATGCTTTCCTTTCAACTGCAGGATGCCACTAAAGCCAAACAGTTCCTGCCATTCCTTCAGAGAGCAGGGAGATCAGAAGCTATTGTAGAGTTTGTTGCAAGCGGGTCCAGAGTACGAGTCTTCATTCCAAGAGACACATGTCTCATCACAATCCTTCTATCAGGTAAATTGAATAAAAACAAGATTATTCGAGATTGTTTGAGATTGCTACCTTTGTTTTTGATGGAGATGTGTTACAAAAATGGAATGGGTGAAGTAAGATAGAAAAAGTATGATCAGATTGATATTTTTTCAAATAGATGTCAGGATTTCACAATCTGATTTTCTGATCTTATTAGAGGATAAATGATATGCTAAGTTTATTATTTATTTTACCCAAGCCTTATCAAAAACAGATATTAACTGATTGCTTCATAAAGAATGTCATACTCATAGGACGACTTCAAACCAATTAATTATAACACACAGTGTATGTATCTGTTAGCACTTATAGGATGTTGAAGTGCTATAGTGAATATATAGGTATAGGAATTGAACTTATAGGATGTTGAAGTACTATAGTGAATATATAGGTATAGGAATTGAACTTTGAATTTTATATTAAATTATTTGCAAAGTCATTGGTCTACTTATAACTTATGGGTTGCAATGCACAAGTACATGACATGATACTTTGTAGAGATGGGCCTGTCTCGTATTCATCCAGTTCATTTATTTCTCAAGCCGTACTGCAAGTTTTTTCCATAATGTCCAATTGTTGCACAGGAAGTATATACATGGTATACACCACACATCGACCAGTTGATATATATTGTACAAAATGTGTCTTGATGTCAATTTTATATATATTTTTTTTATTTTTATTATTTTCATTCATTCATTACTAAATTCTTTTTATAATTTATATGTTAGGATATGCCATGTTTCAGTTGCATGATATGCCAAGACCAAGTGTCACAATTCAGTTTATGCCACTGAGTTAAAGTATTTGAGAATGTGCCAGGTTTAAGTGGCTCTCATTGTCTGCCAAGTCTAGGTGTCAATGTATGCCAAGTTTAAATATTGGAAAGATTCCTTCCTCTGCAGTCCTTTATGGTCCTTGTCATTAGATTCTGTGTTATGGTCCAGGTTGACGGACTGACTGAATGCACATGTTGCCAGTATCTCTGCAGATGAGTAACACACTATAGCCAAAATCAACACTCCTATATTGATGTACACCTGGAAAAAACAGTGGAATATTAAAGTTAAACTAATCTGGGTTCTTTTTTTTCAGTCCTTGATTACTGTCAGGGATGAATATGATTTGCACGTGATTTTAAAAGGAGTATGATTTTGATTTTATTTGATAACAGTATGGCACTGATATGTAGCTGGATATATTTTATCTTAACCTATGATATAACTATAGCTGCAGTGCTAATCTATTCATGAACATCCTTACCTTTGTCCCCATGCATAATGCTGCACTTATGGCAAAGGAGACTCCACCTCCTATACCCAAAAACAAAGGGATGCCAGCAAATGCTGCCATATTATTGTTGAAAAGCTGACCCACCATTGCTGAAAATCACAATGCATAATTTGTACATTATGTAATATTTAAGTTTCCAAACCATTAGGAACTTCTGGACTCCCTAATAAGAAATTTGATACAAAATATACTAGTACAAAACAATTAATGTCTAGTTTTTCATCATTCAATAATCAAACCATTCCATCACCATTCCATTAAAGTTTGATTCTTATCTCTCTCAAAACAGTATACTAAGTAAATGGGTTAATATTTATAGTTTCATGTTATTTTCAATAAAAGTAGACTTCTTTATTGTTGAATTTGAATTTGAATTTTTTTACAAGCCACCAGCTTGTACTCTGCATAATAATGGATTTAGTTCTGCCAGAGTTTAAAGCTAGTACAGACGTATTGTTGTCACAGTTTGATTGCAAGCCCATAATTTTAAAGCTACAATGATAGTCAACATTTCAAGCTCATTGATGCTCCAGTTTTGTGTCGTAATGAACTTTGGGAACTCCCTTCAGTATTTTTGAATGAAAAATGAAAATGAAATTTCTCGAGAACATTCACTGATGATTTTTTCCCATCTTGACTTACGTGTTAGCTGAGTCTGCATGATGGAATCTGCACAGCCCCATGAAAATGGGATAATGAAGAATACTGCAAGCTGATTGGCTGATGGTTTCCATAGCAACATGGTCAAGTAACATGCCATATAGATTGTAAATGCTATCCCCATTAGGAATGGTCTTGGGACATATTTGGCAAGAATGCCAACTGGTAAAACTAACACACAATTTGAGACACCCACTGTTAACATAGTATAGCCAACCCATCCGACACCCAGCTCACAGCTAACGATAGACTGAAATAACAAAATAATAACTAAGTTTGTGCTATGAAATTTTTCCTGTATTGTTAATTTGTTTGTTTGTACTTTTCTCAGATTTTGATGCAATATTATCTCAGGTTTCAGAAAACCCCAAGCAAGTCTCGTAAATATTCATGCTTACAAAGGCATATGATGATGGTTCAAAATAAAAATCTGGGTCCAAAAAATGTGACTGGTGGAAGATTTACCTGCGTAAAATCTCCATAGATTAGAGCACTCTTGAAGCCCCAAAAGATAAATACTGGCATAAACATCACATATTTATAGTCTTTAAGCATTCGTATTACAGAAGTCAGTTTCAAAACAACATCTGAAAAATGAAATATTCCATTTTTACCCACCATGTGACTAATAGAAAGTGTACCTGTGTGAAATCGCCGTAGATTAGAGCATTTTTGAAGCCCCAAAAGAGAAATATTGGCATGAACATCACATACTTATAGTCTTTAAGCATTCGTATTACAGAAGTCAGTTTCATTACAACATCTGAAAAATGATAATACTGTAACATTTTAGATTTTCACATATATTGTTAAAACAACTTTTATATTATTTTGCTCAATATAATTATTTTTAGGGATTAATTCATACATGATAATGGTACAGAGATTAGGTTATGGCTATATTGAAACATAAGACAGGAAATTGTTTCTTTGAGGCAGCTACTACCAAATTGACACTTTGAATCTCATAGGTCATTAAAGAAATCTCCTAAATTCCCCCCCAAAAATAGAGAACTAGTAAGATTTTAAAAGCTACTTTAAGTATATAGAAACTTCTCTATTGCTTTAGTACTGCAGATATGCATATAACATGATAAGCCTACCTTTACAAGTGACATTATCTTGCTCGGGTGGTTTTTTGAAGAGTGGTTTCAGGAACAGGAACACAGAGATACAGCCTACTGCTGAGATACATAAGAATATGATCAGCAACAGGTGGATCTGAAAATAAGAAGTCACTGAGCTAAAGCAACGATTGGGTTTGTTTTTCTGAACGGTTGAATTTTTTAGTATGGTCATTTGAGCTCAATATTTGATTAAGTCAAGTTACTATATAGTTTCTTGTTAATATAATCAAAGACAAAAAACAGAGATAGCTTTAGAGTTATCTTATTTCTTACCCGTTCTAATGGCGGTCTATTCCGGGGATCACTTGTGAGATTCTGGTCCAGAGGACAAAATCTTGCGCCACATTTTCTGTCAATAGTGCTGTTCCTAAGCGTTGTGTCAGCAGGCTGTATGCCTAAAACGCCTGATGAGATGAAATCCCCAATTATCTTTCCTGATGAGATGAAGAAGAAGACGATTGACTGAAAGCTTGAGGCCATATGAACGTTTTCTTTGCCAGTGTCCCTTTGCAGTCTAGTGGCAAATGTAGTTGCATAGATATCTTTGATTAGGAAGCCCCCAGCTCCCAGGAAGCCTGTTAACAGTATGACGGGGATCATAACATAGTAATATGGGAAGAAATTGGATGCTGTGTATAACATTGTTCCAAATGCACTGGCGACTAGTACTCCTTTATTGCCCAAAATACGAATCTGTAATGGTGCTAGGGCTGTTGAAAATATTGTACAGAAATATCCAACACTCAGAACGACACGTCCTATTCCCCCCTGGTGGCTATTCAATGTGCTCTGGAGGTTCTGGAGAGCCATGAACGGTATGAAGGTACACATCATTCCTATCGATAGGATAGCCATGTTTAAATACATTGCGCCTTTTGTGAAATGATTCTCCTCAGCACCAGATTCATCAACAGGAGGATTGGATTCAGTGTCTTTAACATCATCTTTCAGCTGTTGATCAATCGTTGAAATATCTACAGATGGGAGCCCAGGTTTTACTGGGATTTCACCATTCAAGTCATCAAGTTTTACGTTCACATTTTTCATATCCAAATTACCATTTTCTAAAGTCTTTGGATCTTCTCTATTGTCTCCCATGATTGAACGTCTCAATTGAAATTTTTATTCACCAAAAATGTTAGCTCAAATTTTGCTGTATATGTACAGTATGGTGCAATGTTAATGTGTTATCTTATGTTGTACTTGAGCTTAATAAATGAGTAAATTAATTTTTTATCAGTGTGATATATTTATATTGAACATAGTGTCATTGACTTTGGATCTAAAGTTCATATCCTTTAAATTCCCACCTGCATGGTCTCTATCAGGTGATTTTGAATAAAGTTTTTTCTATTCGTATACTTTAATTTTGGTACAAAAATTTCTTTTTTGAAGTTACAGTAAAAAACGTAAATAAATTTGCATTAATAGTTTGTTGGTGTCTTGGCAAATGATAATGCGATTTTTGTAGACAGGAGACAATTATTTATCACTTTTTTCTAGTGTAAAATTTTATAAAAATCATCTTGAATATTTGGGAGAAATGTGGAGCCAAATGGGTATAAAAGAACAGCATTTCAAAAATCATGTCAGTGTTGCCCTTATAATCTGGATTTTATTTTCTGAAAAAAAATAATTTGGGTTCCCGATGGAACAAATTATTAATGTTTTAAGATGTAGAAAAGTACATGTACTTTAAATATGATGGATAAAGTGGTCATTATCATGATTTGAAGGTTATTAAGTGCACACTGGACATAGAACATCATATACTCTCTGATAATGCAATGTAAGAGATATTTGACATTGAGGTTAACTAGTACAATAAATATTGCAGTGTTTTGATAAGAAATATTGCACAAGGTCTTTGCAATGTTGGTATTTTTTAGTTTTAGTGTTATTCATTTCAGTTTACTTATGGACATTTTAATATGCTTTCACTATTTTGTATTTTGGTACACATGCTCGAGAGTATCAAGTTCTATAGTTTAATAACTTTTGGGTGATTGTTTGGTGATTTTGATGTTATGTGATTATGTTTATGTCATGTTCCTTGTTTTTATTTTAAAGAAAATAAGGTGTCTCTAACAGTTTATTTCTTCTGTATTTTCCAGGTATCGAATGTCCTCGTGGTCCCCGTCCTGTGCCTGGGGGTCAGGGAGGTATCATCCCAGGAGATGCCTATGGGGAGGAGGCCCTCCAGCTGACCAAGGAGATGTGTCTTCAAAGAGAAGTAGAAGTTGAGGTGGAGGCCACTGATAAAGGAGGCAACTTCATTGGATGGCTGTAAGTAGCTTGACTAGAATTAAGGTGGAAACATTGGATGGCTGTAAGTAGCTTAACTAGAATTAAAGTGGGAAGATTGGGTGGTTGTAAGTGAAGCTCTACTAGAATTAAGGTTGGAAGATTGGATGGCTGTAAGTAGCTTTACTAGAATTAAGATGGGAAGATTGGGTGGCTGTAAGTGTAGCTCTACTAGAATTAAGGCGCGAAGATAGGATGGCTGTGAGTAGCTTTACTAGAATTAAGGTGGGAAGATAGGATGGCTGTAAGTAGCTTAACTAGAATTAAGGTGGGAAGATTGGATGGCTGTAAGTAGCTTTACTAGAATTAAGGTGGGAATATTTGATGGCTGTAAGTAGCTTTACTAGAATAAAGGTGGGAAGATTGGATGGCTGTAAGTAGCTTAACTTGAATTAAGGAGGGAAGATTGGATGGCTGTAAGTAGCTTAACTAGAATTAAGGTGGGAAGATTGGGTGGTTGTAAGTGAAGCTTTACTAGAATTAAGGTTGGAAGATTGGATGGCTGTAAGTAGCTTAACTTGAATTAAGGAGGGAAGATTGGATGGCTGTAAGTAGCTTAACTAGAATTAAGGTTGGAAGATTGGATGGCTGTAAGTAGCTTAACTTGAATTAAGGAGGGAAGATTGGATGGCTGTAAGTAGCTTAACTTGAATTAAGGAGGGAAGATTGGATGGCTGTAAGTAGCTTTACTAGAATAAAGGTGGGAAGATTGGATGGCTGTAAGTAGCTTTACTAGAATTAAAGTGGGAAGATTGGATGGCTGTATTTAGCTGTACTAGAATTAAGGTGGGAAAATATGTATGGCTGAAAGTAGCTTTACTAGAATTAAGGTGGGATAATATGTATGGCTGTTAGTGGCTAGTCATAGAGCAGGAAGATGGGGAGACTTTTTGAGATGTTTTTAAACCAAGAGATTATAGAAGTCACTATTGTAGCCATGACAATGATGGTGTCATACTTTGAAATAACATAATTTGGAAATATGTCAAGTTTCCAATGTTTTTCAAAATTGTATTCATATTTCAGCTATGTTGATGGCGTCAACATGTCTGTTGCTTTGGTAGAGGCTGGACTGTCAAAGATGCACTTCACTGCAGAGAGAACCAACTACTACAGGGCACTCCAAGTGGCAGAGGAACAAGCCAAGACTAAGAAGAAAAATGTAAGTGTCATTAAAGGCAGAATCAGATCTATGGGGGTGAAAAAATTACAAGCAATGTGTACAATTGACCTACCATTCTATTCCTTACAATTTCAAATACAATATCTCCCAAAAGATTCACGCTATGTTATAAATTGGTGAAGTTATAATGGATTCAAAGTGCAAAAATGAGTGAAAAATGTTTAAATTCTCCCAAATAATAAGAATAACCATACTTATAGAAAAATAATACGTTATTGTAAATATCTTTAGTTTTCCTGAAATAAAGTATGTCCTTTGATAATTTTAAGAAAATAGACATGAAAAGGAATGACATGAGCCAGAAATATTCTAAAATTGAAACAATTTTTTGTTGGGCTACTCGCTAGATCTGATTCTCTCTTTAATATCAAGGAAGAATTATTTTATAATTTGTGCCTCAGGAAATTCAAAATGGCCACCTAATGTGTGATTTCTGTTTTTTAAATACTCTGTAAACAATGGGTAGAGTAGATGGTAAATACAACATATGGACATATATAGAGATTAGTGAAAACTTTCCGTTAGGATTTCCTACTCTGTGGAGCTGCCGATTTCTAGTTTATAATATGCCAGAAATAATGTAAACCTTGATATTGTGACATTATAACATTGACAAATAAACAAATTGCTAATCCATTCGATACTGAATCAAACAATTAAGTCATGTTTTACACCAACTTGGTGATTAAGCCATTAAACTGTGATAAGCGCCATGGTTGTAATTTGTATATACTAATTGTTGCCTTCAGATCTGGAAGGATTTCAAGGAGAGTGTAGAGGTTGAGGTGAAGGAAGAACCCACAGAGAGAAAGGTCAACTACCAGAATGTTGTTGTCACTGAAGTCACTGAAGATTTGCATTTCTTCGCACAGAGCGTAGACAATGGTGCGTCACAATTGACTTTGTATACTCTTTTATTGACTTATGGGTTTTCTATGTTAGAACTGTCTTTCTGAGGTTAAGTGGCCTGATTTTGAATCCATAGTCCAGTGCTTAGTCCTACTTCTTTCCTCAACAAGGCAACATCTATATTATCGTACCTGGCCATCTTGTCATTACTGACCAGTTGCAATGGTATTTTCCAATACCTAATGATAGCATCAGCTCATCTCGAACTAAAATGACTAGTAGATCAGCCCTTGCTCCTCAAACAATGTATTTTATACAGTCTTTCAGAGTGCTTTTTAAACCAACTGGGAAAAATATTAGATTGTGCTGTTCCATATAATAGTAAATCCACATAGTTATGATTCAAGTGAAATATTCCATATCCCGAAATGTGTCTCTTCTTTTATAGGCCCACAAGTAGAGAAGATGATGGAGCAGCTCCGTCAAGAGCTATCTGACAATCCACCACTCCCTGGCTCTTACATCCCAAAGAAGGGAGACCTCTGTGCCGCCAAGTTCACTGATGGTGAATGGTACAGAGCTAAGGTTACAAAAGTTGAGGGCCAAAATAAAGTTCACGTCTTGTACATTGACTTTGGTAATGTAAGTACACTTTCTCTTTTTTATCATCAAGTTCCATGATTTTCTCTTATAAAAAATTGAACATACTTCTTTCTTCAATTTCTTTAAATTGTAGCATTTTCTAGTTGCTATTATATTCTTTTAAATGAAATACATTTTAAACATAAAAATGCACTTTCAGAGGGAGATTACTGGATCTGCTAGTTTGGCTGTTCTGCCCCCTACCTTCCACAGCCTCCCTGCTCAAGCACAAGAATATTCCTTGGCTTGTGTCTCTGTTCCTGAAGATGTGAGTTTCATGCTGTTCTTATATTGTTTTCTGATACATTGCTGTTGTTCTTCTCATTTATTTCAAATGTATCCCTAGATGTTATTATTGCGCATACATTTGATGTACATGACAGACAAATTATATCTCTTACTTTTCTATTTTACATAACATTGCCAATGTTTGACCAATCGCATGGTAGGAACTGAAACAATGAAATTTGAATTTTACATATTTCCACGTGGCTTCAGATGCTGAATGCCCAAAACATCAAATATTAGTTTTCAATAAAATTGGTTTTAAAAACAGATATTATAGAGATTAAACCTGGATTAATGAACTGCATTAGAATTAAAGATTAAATCTAAATAGAAATAGCCAATATATATGCCAAATGTTAATCATATTCAGGGTGAGGCTAAGAATGATGCCATAGATGCTCTCTATAATGACATCCTGAACAAGACCCTCCAGCTGAACATAGAGTACAGAGGCACCCCTGATGCTGTCAGTCTGCAGTATGCAGACTCCCAGGAAGATGTCGCAAAGAGCCTCATAGCAGAAGGTCTCCTGATCCTCGAAGCACGTAGAGAGAAGAGATTTGCCAAGATGGTCTCTGATTACAGGAAGGCACAAGATAAAGCCAAGGCAGAAAGGGTACGTTAAAGGCCCCAGCAAAAGTTTAAAACACATGTTGTAGTCTTTCCAAATGTTAATAAAATATGTGTGAAACTTTTTTTTAATTTCAAAAAGTCATTTTAATAGGAGTTTCATTAAGGTTTTGATTCATGGTTTCAGATATGAATGTGGTGCATAATTCAAATGTATTTATGATATAATTATATCAAAATTAATGAGGGCATCCCCTGATTGCTTCAATGCTGGGGAAACCAGCGTGTCACATATACAAAGTAGAATGATATTATGCATGCCTACAGAGTTGACATTCAAATACATGGCGAAGTGGATGAAATACTCCAGAATTTAATGGCCATGTAGAGATGAATTTTTAGAGGTTCAACTTTACATGGATATTCATCTCTGAATTCTGGGGATACTCCCTCGTCTTACAAAGTTCAAGTATGTGTCTGAAATATTTCAGAGCCATCTGACATTCATAAGCTATTTAGGAAGCTTTGTACTTAGTGACCTACAAGTACAAATCCAGTATATTGTGTGTTTGGATTTACGTTTGTCTGTTTTCATAAATGTAATTGATCTGTTTTAGCTCAACTTGTGGCGCTATGGTGACTTCCGTGAAGATGAGGCTGCAGAGTTTGGCTACAAGAAGACAACATAAGATGCTGCCATGACAACCATGATGAGACAACACAAGTTATATCTAGAATTCAAACTTTATTGGAAACAAAACCTTAAAACTGTGTACAGGAATATCTGAACATTAAAATCCTGTGAAAAACTGGAAACAATAATTTGGAATGAATCCACACTAATAAAGCATGTAATGCTGTAAATGATAACAAAAGTATGGCATAGGTTTATAACAAATTACTAGTGTCGACTGTGGGTAACAGAATGATCCTCAGATGTGGTTACAGGTTCTCTCAGATACTATGATCTCACAGTCATTCTGGTGGCCACAGTTGAACTATATATGAAAACATGAGTATGGAAAAACAGACAACACGAGTATGGTAATAATTTATATCAATTAAAATAAAACAACAACACAAGTATGGTTAAATAATTTTTTATCGCTATGACAACACAAGTATGGAAACAAAAACAACACAAGTATGGCAAAAGCTTTGGAACTGTAGCAAGTCCCTAATTCGACACTTAAAGAATACCTGATAATCTTTACTGATTTAAGTCTTCCATTAACATATTTAAAGGGTAAAATTGATTGTTTCAATTGAAATTGACTGTTTCAATTGAAATTATTTAAAAATGTGGTCATTTGATTCATGAACTGAACAAAACTGAACTTTGAATTTATACATACATTTTGTTTTTGATACAACAGAGCAAATGAATATATTCATTTCTGGAGTATGTATGAATTCTTGGTTGTTTCTAGCTAAGTGTCGAGTGAGATTTGTCACAGTTTCTTGTAAACGCTTTGACAACACAAGTTTGAAATAGGCTAAACCAAATATTTTCAAATTTTACAATGTATAGTTTTTTAACCATTTATCAAGTTATTTAAAACCATTGTCAGTCAAAACTCAGCTTTTTTATTTTTTATTTATGTTCTTTATTTTATATGTAGAATGTAATGTTATGTAATTGTTATCATATTATCGTCATACTGAATGAATCAAACTAAACAACTTCCTGTTAATAAGAATATTACATTACCAAAATGTTCATGTACCAAAATGTACATCTCATAGCGAATAACATTGTTTCATTGTGGAGTGTGGCAGTCTGATTGGTTGCAGCTGCAGGACCAGAGAACCATGGGCCAATGTTTGTTTTGCATTAAGAAAATGCAAATATTCTTTTTAGTTTTATTTTGGTTTTAAGATACCAGTGGAAAACATTAATTATTTTCACATGCTTACGGGAGATTGCTTTTAAGCTGTTCCACCAACCTCCCCCTGAAAGAGCATTGGAATGTCTCAAATAGTTTGTTCCAAGAATAATTGGAAATAATTACTGTTTCTCTATTGATATCAATATTTTGGTGATGGTTTGAAATATAATTCAAGATGTTCAACATCCTTTATGGTACGTTATGTATTTTTCTCAAATGCCACAGGAGGGCTTATAACCCAAGCACCTTTAGTTCCTCTATGAAGTGTACTGGGAAGAGTCTTGGTCTCTTGACATTATTGTGACAGGTAGTGATAGGTACAGTAATGTTTAGAAGTAGTGGCAGTTGATAACACTTATGTTTGGTAAATATGCACAAAATACAGTGTTTCGGTTAAGTGCTAAATTGAGCTTTTGACTGGCACAATATACACGAGTCCAACCATTCAGGGTCTATGCATACAGTAGACATCAAGTTCAGGTTGCAATTATAGTAGAAGAGTGTGGTGGTTTCCATGGAGGTCTTAAAATATTTTATAATCTCCATGGAAATCAAAGCTATCAGTCTGTTTTCTATGATCTAAACTAAATGTTAGTTGATGGTGAAAGTTCTGATTAACCGATATGTGCAATACTGTGAAAGGAATATGTCTCATAATTGTAAATGAACTAATGCAAATGTACTATTGAAGCTTTGTTGTATGCAATACCTTGCAAGTTGTATAGATAAATACATGATTATTAAAATATGTGCTGTTTGTGTTGTATGTAATGCCTGTGGGTGACGAGGTGTTGGTTCAAGATTTACTGTCCAACTGTCCCCATCATAATTGTCCCCTTCTGTTTACCCAACTGGTTATTCCTTGGCATATTACAAATATACACGGTGATCCCCAGTGAATTCTAACCTTGAATGTAAACGTCGCACGCTTCACTCCTATAGGCTTTGTGTCATAGAATGAATTATAGAAAGAAGACAGTGTAACGAGTCTCTACATCTTCTTTGTATAAACTACGCTACTGTATCTTTATATCGTCCTTAATCTAAGGTATCACTCGTGGTATATCTCCGACAATTATATTTCAGAATCTTCAACAAATATGCTGAATATCTTTTTCAAATAAATCCCGAGTTCTTGAGAGTCCTTTGACACAAGAGAAACAGCAAAAATAACCATAGACCTTCAGCATTAGTTCAAGGCAAGCGACAATTAGAAAACAGCAATTCCACGGAGTAGCAAATCCCAATGAACACTATATAAATCATGAATCTGTACATTCACAATGTAATATTGAATTGTCTGAGGCACAAATCAGAAAAACAATACCATAATTGTGATCTACTCTGAAATTCCTTCAATTTCAGTATAATGTAGCCATACTTTTAACAGATCAGAAATTAATTGCGAAATCCCAAATTAGGCGGCTATTTTGAATTATAAGAGACCCGAATCAGAAAAACGATACTAAATTGCCTTTCGGACGAAGGGCTTTACTATATCCCAACTGAACTTCGTTCGTTGGGATGATTAACATTTTGTCCGGTGCTTAGACTTTAAACAATATACACACATTCCAAAATTCAGGCTGTCTATATCATTTATCCCATTATGTGATATCACAAATCTTTATCCAGTTGGACGGCACATTGCCTTAACCCATCAGCTTTATGACGTGCACTTCCGCGTGGGACTATATCTTTACAACGGGAATTCAAGTTTTTGTCAGTGTAGACATAAAAAGTTGCGGTCCTCTTACTCGCGCAGTTTTTAATATTTTCATTTGAAACTTGCAGGAACGGTGGTTTGAATCTAGCTCTCTACTCTTTGAAAACGTCATGTAGAATCAAAACAGTTGAACTATTTTTTTTGTCGTGAAAATATTATTTTTTTAGTTTTTTTTTATTTTACAACTTTTTGGGAAAAAATGTAACAAATTTTTATTTCTTGTCATATTTATCCAATATTTTGTCATCATGAAATTCGAGATTCCTTTTAATGATGGTGCAAATTTCATAACAATTGATGAATTTCTATTATCAGTGTTATGTTTTCCAAAAACGGTGTACCACTGTGCATGTTTCTTTAATTGACGGCACATTTGCCTTTAATTGGGCGAACGTACAGGTCCCGACGCAATAAGCTTTATTTGATTTAATACACTCAAAAATAAAGTTTGCTATCAAATCAGAATGTTCATAAAACATAAACATTGCCTTTGTTTTCCCAATTCTAAATGCAGGCCAAATAAACTATGATAATCGTTTGACTCTCGAGACTACAGAACTTGAACATGCTAAAATCGAAGTTACCTATAGTTACGCTTGTAAAGTTAATTATATGTTTAATTAACGGTGTGCTGAGCGAATGTATCTAATCAAATTTGTGACATACCCATAAGATCGTAGATCACAATTCTAAGTTTAATATGTAATTTGGATTCGTAAGAAGTATTTCTGTTTTAAACTTACCTTTGCTGTCTGAAAAAGATCAATATTCATAGACGGGGATGTTGAAACCTACATTTCCTTTGAATGACCTGCATTTGTACTACGAAATGATCCTGTGGAGAAAAGTTGATGAATTCCAAACAGCTAGTTCTTGCAAATCTACTAGTAGAAGCTTACTTTCTAAAAGTATTTCAATGTTAAAAATATCTATTGATATGTTTCATTTTTAAAATGATTTTTTGCTTCCATTAACTTATATGTGTGACTTAATGAAGAATGCTGTTTACCACATCAAATTTAAGACGTAAACTTGGCAATGACTCGATACACGTTATAACGCGATTTTCTTTCATTTTCTACAAAAATGGTATGTTTTTGAACGGTCACTTATGTTAATCTATGACCATGGTATGATTGAAAATGAAAGAACTGAACCAAGTATTGTCGACTCAGTTGAATCATAAGATTTATTTTGATTGATTTAATCTATTCTTGAATTACAAAACCTTTGTCCGAATTACATCTGCTATGGAATTAAAGTTCAAATATACCTCAGAATTGCTTATTGAATTAACCTAGCAATTAATTTGAAAATAATTCTTTACATAGGTTATATATCATAGATCATAGATATGTAAAAAATAAAAATGTGTTTTGAAAGATGAATTGGTAACAAACGTTTTCGTACACGTGCCATTCTTCATCTTCAGCCCACTTAAAGCACGAAATCCCGTATGACGTAATATAACGAAAATGCGCAGATAATTGATATTTTTTTAATTTTAATTCAACTCACATTGGCCTTTCTTATTTAGAACGTGTTTAAAGTTCTCATGTTAAGAAAATAAATATGTGGAAAGGCAATGGTTTAAAGCTTATGAAAATGTCAAAATCATAATTCAGTTTTTAAAATAAGATATTGACATGCATTCACGCAAATGTGACATTATCTCTTTTTGTGCGATTCAAACATAAAAATCTCATTACAGTTATACATATGAACCAATCTTAGCCATGCCTTTCTAACAGAAGGGACTAAATTTGAATCAAAAAATAATTCTGTGTAAAGATGATTCCCCATAGATATAATAAATGTCAAAAATGTCAAAAAATTATCAAAAATTAAATACTCACACGCTTTTAAGCACACATGACCTTTTCCAGTTTTGCTCATTTCATTTACCTTGAAAACCAAGGAGACCAAACGCAATTGCTATATACATCCTTGATACGTGTGCCAGGTCTATAATTGCATTTTCTCATGGAAGGAACCAAGCAAAAATTATAAAAATAATTCTATGTAAAGGTGATGCTTCACAAATAATATTAATGTCAAAACTTCAATTCATTTCTTCAAATCCAAATACTGACACGCTTTTACGCACACGTGACCTTTTCTCCTTTTGCTCATTTTATTCATCCTAAAAATCAGTGAGCCTTAATACATTGTCCGATACTTCTTTAATACATGTCGGGTCTAAAATTGCAGTTTATCATAAAAGAAATCGAACAATTATTATAAAAATAATTATGTGTAAAGGTGATGTTCTTCAGATCATATAAACATCAAAATTGTAATTCATTTATTGAAAGTTTAATATCCACATGCTTTACCGCACAAATAACCCTTTACCTTTTTGTTCATTTCATCTATCTTAAAAATCAGTGAGCCTGAACTCATTGCTAAATAATTTTTGATATGAGTCAGCTGCAGGTCTAAAATTGCATTTTATCATGGAACAAAACGAGCAATCATTATGAAAATAATTCTGTGTAAAGGTGATGTTCCAAAGACAATATATATGTCAATTTGATAATTCAGTTACTCAAAATGAAATATCCACATGCTTTTACGCACACATGATAATTTTCTGAATGACGTTACTTTTTGGATTCAACCATGCATATAACGTCGTAAAATACACATTTCTACCGAAATTATGCCCAACCGTTTTCGCAGAAAATGTAACAAATGAAGGCATTTTATCGGAACTGATTGATATTTGGTACTTATAAAATATCGTATTTACTTTAACTTTTAAGCGATTCAGACATTTAAAAAAACGATGTTTAATCAATATTAATTTCGCACGAATATAGGGTACAAAATGAGTGAAAGTCTCACGTGTTTGATTGCATTTTACTCCCATTCATGTGCATTTTTCTAACATTAAAATGAGATAGTTCGAAAGAAGAGATCAGTAGAATTCTATCCGTCACTTTCATTTTCAAATGTTTAAATGTTTACCATTTCAATGGACCTCATAAAGATGGTAGCCAACGGACCAGAAACAAGTAGTGCGATGACGTCATATATCGCTACACCACTTTGATATAAAGTTTGGTAAACAACAATGGGTTTTTTCAATGTGCCGTCCTACTGATCAACTACAAATCTATTTGTATTTACAATAAAGAGTACATCATGGACACGTGTCGTCAAAATCATGCAAAAATAATGTAACCTATTCACATCGATATATCAAACAAATGAGTTCCTATAGACATCCAAATATGTTCCTAGAGAACCTGAACTTGGGGCATAACCATATATGAGAAACTGAGTTTGAGAAAGTAAGTGTTTTACACACTAAGGTTGTACATGTTTATATGGTCTGAACAGGAGCAAAATAATGTTCACTATTTTGGTTCCATAAATGAGCTAATTTTCAAATTTGGTTGTATGTTGAAGATTAATCTATATCATTGATTACCAATTTCACTAAATCTATTTTTTTTCATGTTATCAATTTATTTCTAATATAAACATTTACATTCAATTACAAATTCTAATTGCCAAGGTTTTGCAACATTTTAATATATATATTATATATACATGTAGATATTAGATAATGAAATAAGATAAATTTGTTAAGGTTATTTCAAAATACCTGAAGGTTATCCCAATGGGCCGGGATGTTAACGGAACTTGAAAAATAATTCGGTCATTGCAGAAAAAAGGACTTGTCAAATTACTACTAGATAGATAATAAAACAAGACTTGTATGTATATAATCTAACAATATGAATTAAAGCTTCATTCATAGTAGCATCCAGGTTAGTGCTTCCAAACAGTAAAAATTGTAATTTGTCATTCAAGTTGTAGTTATTGAACAAGTGACTTAAATTGTAAGTACGAAGGCCTGCAATGAGGTTGTTTCTTTCATTCTGTAGCAGTGGGCATTTTAAAAGAAAATGCATGGTTGTCATTGGTACACCACAATGGCACAAAGGAATGTCTTTGAAGTTGTGAGCATAAAGGTGTGATTTTAATAAGAGGCCAGATCTTAGTCTATTAAGTTTTACATGTATTTCGAGATGTCTGGGTAAGGTCACATTTAATTTAGTAGTTGGGATTAAAGAGACCGGGCTCTTGTACTCTCGCACTAATCTTTTAAAACTAGAAATAGGTTGACCCCTTCTAGTATCAGGTGGCAAATCATTCCACAATGTTATAGCCTGAAATATGGTACTTCTTTTAGAAGACATGCTCAGTCGAGTCGGAAGAGAATAATCTCTTTGATCTCTTAAATTACGGGCAGGTATATGCTCATATTTACGAAGTAAATCACAAATAAACGGGGGTTGATATTATATCTGCATTTAAAAACAAACATTTTTAGGTGCTCGATTCTTCTAACGGATAAGGATTTCCAATTCAAAGAATTTAAGACTTTAATAGTATTGGATCCATGAATAGAACCAGATACCAAACAGGCTGCTCGGTAGTGAAGTCTGCCAAGAGCTTGTAGTTTCAAATTTGAAGCCTTATTGTAAATTACACCGCAATAATCAAAATGTGGCATGATATACGTATTATATATTATCTCTAAGTGCATACTATTTAAAAGTTTGCTCAATTTTTTCATTGGACTTAGGAGTGAGGTAACTCTTTTTATAATCTGATCAATATGGTAATTGAAGTTAAGGTGTTTGTCAAGATTAAGCCCTAGATGTTTGTGATTCTCACAACTGGGAATAACATCTGCACCTAATCTCAATGGTGGTGGGTCAAAAGGAATATTTCTTCTAGAGAAAATGATGTCGGCGCTTTTTTGAGCTTTGAATTGCATCTTCCAGGTGGCAGCCCAGAGAGCAAGCTTGTCCAAATCACTTTGAATTGGTTGATGGATATTGAAAAACACTGTATTTTTGTCATATGGGCAATAAATGGAAGTATCATCGGCAAAAATGAACGATTTTGATAGTAATTCATCTGGCAAATCATTTATATAAATTAGAAATAGTAACGGTCCAAGGACAGACCCTTGTGGCACTCCAGCATTGATGGTATAGTTCACAGACTGCTCATTAGGTTCATTTTGATTGTTAATATTATTTGAAGACCATTTTGAAAGGGTGCCATTCACGCGGACCCTTACTCTTCTGTTATCTAAGTATGAGGACATTAAATTGATTTTATCATTACAACCGTATCCAATCTATCTAAATCTATTCCCAAACACGCATTTGAACTTCGTAATAATTCCAGTCTGAATCAATGATCAAATCAGTTGGCGGCGAATCATCCATTTTCCGAGACAACAGTTGGCAATTGTTATCCAGTCCTTTCTTCTTGAAATTGAAAGCAACGCAGTCGCGTTTCGTGTTACAAAGACGTGCACAGTCAATTCTCGACCTTGACCTTGCCATATCAAGAATATGATTTGTCAGCCTCTGACCTTTGTAGACCTGGGAATCCAGTCCCCTTTTGCGAGTTGGGATCATCACTGAAATATGGCAATACTGTTTGATGATAGTATGCAAAGTAGTGTCTCCATGGATAAACAACACGCTGAAAAGTGTATTCTCTTAATAAGTAATATACTTAAACAGTTACTATGGCAACGAACCTTTAAAACAACTTTCGCCACAAAATCTTGATAAGACCAGTGTGAATACAAATAAGGTGAATATGTCAGTTTTCCATAGGTACCAAGTTTGCCTATAGCCATGATGCGTATACAATGTATTAAAAGGAACTTTTGACCCATACTTTGCCTTATGCCTGGGTCACATTTGCTCCGATTCATCGGCCGGCGCCCGGCCGATTGAGTATTCTGTTCAAAACTGAATACAATTGTGAACAGGATACTCAATCGGCCGGGCGCCGGCCGATGAATCGGAGCAAATGTGACCAAGGCATTACTAATAACACAAGTCCGAGAATCTGAAAACTAACCTTCGCAGTGTGTTCCATTTCCAAGGTAACCAGAGTCGCAAGCACACAAGAATGATCCCACGGCGTTGTTACAAACAGCGTTAATGTCACAATTATGCGTGTTCAGGGTACATTCATCGTCATCCGCACAGGTCACGCCGTCTCCAGAATATCCTGGATTGCAGTTGCAGCCAAAGCTCCCGTCTGTGTTTGTGCAGTTGGCATCTTGGTGACAGTTATGTGTTCCTTGTGCGCATTCATCGATGTCAACTAGGTGTGGGGAAAACATATGAGATAGAGTATATTTTAAAAGGGACATTCCTAATTACTAGTCTACCCCGATATTGGTTTGGTTGCTGTAACCATTGACACACTACCAATTTTACATGTATTGATAAATTTTGAAGAGGTTTCGATGGACCATTTAAAAATTATGTTAATTTAATTAATTGAGCTTCAAGGAGGATTCGCTCTCAGGATCGAAACTCGATATTTTCGAACAATGAAAACGTCGAAATGTCGTTATTTTCTGAAATTATAACCACTATAAATTCAAAATAAACGGTCCGAAAGATTCGAACCAATATCTCGATCATTTCTTGTACATTTTGGAATTTTTCGTTGGGAAATAACACCAAAATTCACGATTCAAATGTTGAAGTGAACAAATTGCGGCTGTTTGGATTCGAATTTTGTTTTTTAATATGAGCGATCTGATTGGTTGAAAGCATTTGGCAATAATTTAATTGCAGAATCTTTATTTGACTTCAGTTGTTCATCATCATCTTACCCAGTTGTGATTCACAAAGGAATTCATATGATTTTGTACACGAATCAGTTCTCCAACGAAACTGTCTTGGGGGATCTGAAAACACACAGCTTGAGGACTCGGCTAAGTTCGTGGATGGAGTACTATCCCAGTTGAGCCACTCGGCATATGAGTCGGCGTATGTGCCGTTGCCATTCCAGAAATACAAACCAGCTTTCATACCATACCAGTGACTGGATGATCTAGAAATGAAAGTGTAAGCCTTTGCCAACACTCTTTATTTTTCAAAATATTCCAGGGGTAGTTCACATCTGACAATTTTGGCCCAAAATTAATTAAATGTGCTTAGAATGGTCGAAAACGGCTAGATTTTGAAAGAATCTTTGACCAAAGCACTCGAACCCACCGACCCCGCCTCCTCGGCTACATGTCGAAGAATAAAGTACCATATCAAATTAAACATGGGTCACATATGAGGTCATTGAGGTCACTGTACGCAGAGGTAAGCATCACAAAAAGTCAAAGGATTGGTATCCGGCGATATGGTGAACTTTTTGAACACACGTTTCTCTTAAACCAGTCATTAAAAAATTCTGAAAATTTTACACATCGTCAATTTAATGGTCATCTTTTGAATGGTAATAGTATAATATGAAATATATATTTATATATTTCTCTATATTGCTTTAGAAAACACACCACGCACTTATTTTGTTCTTGGTTTTATATATTCGGAATGAAATGAAACATCTATATCCGAACCTCATTGGAACAAAACGACATAACCACAACGTGTTTAGGTCTCTCAATTTTGTAATTGTACAAAGGAAAGTTTGGTTGATTTAAAAAAAGTATCTTGTTAATGAAATAAAGGGCTTATCTTAATTTTTATCTATTTTTTTTAGTTTTTTAATAATTTTTGTTAAATCAAGCTTTGTACAACTATAATATTGAGAGGTCTAAGAAAATGTTTTATATCCTATTTTTTCCAACAAGGTTCGGAAAGATATTTTATTTCATTCTCAAGAATTTGTAGAAAGGAACAAAAAACAATTGCACTAACAGTTATATAAAATATATATACACCCCCTTCCATAAGTTTGGCAACCTTTTTTCCCCATTGAGCTATGTGTTAAAGCCTCTTTACGTTTGAATTTTTATTTACTTAACCGGCGATGAAATAACTTATAATATTTTATGGAAACGTAAAATGACTTTATTTCCAATACCTCCAAATTTTCTCAATTTTTTTCCTCAATTACAATAGGTCGAAATTGATGATAAATTTGATGAATTTTTGAAAATCGTCACTCCCATGTTATCCAATGGGAAATGGAGGGTTCAGGGCAAATCAGAAATCAGGATATATTTTCAGTAAAAGATTCAGCAAAAAATATTTTTATATAGAAAATTGAATTGTCTAACTTTTTTGAACACTAAGTGTTTGGTTTATTTGATGAATATTTAAGTTACAGCGCTTCAAAGTCATTTTTGAAAATAATTTTTCGCCTCCTGTGTTATTTCAATGGGGAAGGTTTTTTGAAAAACAATTTTGACTTTAAAGCCCTATAACTTTGTTGAACCTGAAGAAACATATCAATTTTTTGTTAAATAAAGTTAGCAAATTCAATTGTCTGCCTAACTCGTATTTTTGGCAAGGACTCGGATGGATGGATATTCTGTCATATGACTTGCGGCAAACCTACCATTTCCCATTGGTTAACACGGGAATGTCGATTTTCAAAAAAAAAAGGTTGCCAAACTTATGGAGGGGAGTGTAAATAATATTCGCATTAAATTGTTGTCAATCAGTGACCATTACATAAAGGACCGTGGTTTTTTACAGAATGTTTTTAATAATTGGTTTAAGAGAAAAAAATTGTTGAGTCCAGTTCACCATATCGATGCCAATCCTTTCCAATTCTGGTTAAGTGCCAGGTACGGTATGGTATGATGAATGAGTTTAGAATAGTCTGTTGCTTGTATTTTAAAATCGAAGAATTTACATTCATTACTATTATCTTTATTGAATAGTTGACTTACCGCAAATTTGCTACAACTGAGTTTTCTCCTGCTGATGTTATAGTTACTAAATGGGCGCCATAATTAGCACAGTCAAGTCTTGCATTCTCCCAGCTTTTGTCTGACCGCCCCAAAGTATCACTTGTGATGTAGCAGCTTGATTGATAGCTGTGCCAATTGTAAGGGCAACTCCCTCCAACAGCTAAAATCATAATATAGAGAATGCAACACAGATATGTAGGACAAGGCTTTCCTTCATCTATAATTATGATTTCATCATTTACCTTTAGTTTTTCTAAACTGGAAACGTTTGCATGGCCGTTTAAAATCTCAGAATGTTCGCTGTTGATTTCCGAATATTATCATAACGTTTGGATAGCGCAACTGAAATAATATTACCGTAGTTTAGAATTGATGATATTCAACTGATACAACTGCCATTTCCACGAGACAAGCATGTCAACCCAAGTATTGTATGAGTTTTAAGTAAAAAAGTCAACATACGCTGTAGCAACATTGTCGTTTTGTAATACCGACTGTGCCTTTTCTTGCCATTTTCCTTTATTCCGGGAGAAATAAAAGTTTGCTGAACTAGTACCAGTTTTATGCCAGAGAAATAAAGATGCACAACGGCCAAAGAAGGGTACGTTTGAGTGCTCAATATATATTGATTAAATTGGTGTTTCTCTGCTTGTCTCCTTTAGGGGAAAGATCGTATCCTTGACAGTTTGTTATTACTTGAAGTATAACAGATCAAGTGTCAGAAGAAAATGTTTTGATAAAGGTTTTTTACTTGTTTTTTACTGTAGTTATACAATTTCATTATGCTCCTGGATGTTCAAAATTCATTAGATCAATGTTAATGACACGTCCATAATCTTATGGGAATACTTATTCTGTTTTTTATGCCTGCCAAGTTAAATTAATTGAATACTAGAACGATGACATTGCATTATCGGGGTTAAGAAGCGCACTTGTTACTCCTAGCTATTGTTTTTTCGAGAGAGGAAACCAGGCCCGAAGCGGGGGCGGGGAGGTGTGCGGGGAGGGCGGAGGAAGCGACCGCTCCCCCCTTGGCAAAAACTCCACCCTTGATAAAACTGCTCCCCCTGGTAAATCCTGGCTACGGGCCTGGAAACAGTTATTTTAACAATGAAATCAATAATAAATGATCCACTTATACCTTCTTTTTCACAGATGTAATCATAAGTAGAAGAACAGCTCGAGTCTCCCCATTCGAATTCATTGTCTCTGCTACGAATACAATCCCCACTTCTATCTGGTTCTCCACTCTCCCAATTATTGTATACACTATTCTCACCAGTCACCCATGCGTTGACATTACTTTTCTTCTTTAGACCAATCCAGGTTTTCCTCGGGGGACTATAAGATACAAATATACTATTTGTTTCCCTATATATTAAATACACACGTGGGCCTATTTACGATTATAGATATATTCCAATTCTGTTATTTTACTAAAGGCTGCGCCACGTGTGTTGATATCGAAGACATTTAATGTGTTCCATTTTGTTGCCAACACAACGATCAAGATGTATGTTTTGGAAACATTGCTTACATTTTCTTTGAAATAGCTTATGATGTTTTTTAGACAAAAAAGTTTGCTAATATAAATTCGGACAGCAGAACATATAATGTATCAAGTCCGTAGATTATTTCCAACATGTTAATAAAGTATGTTTGCGACCAGCTCCCAAAAGGGGATTGTTTGATATTTCTTACTCATGAAATATAATTAGTTCCACTCTGTCCATATGATTTGTATCCTCCAACACATGCTTAACACATGAAATTTGTTTACAAATTAGATATAATTGAGAATTTATATACCAATAATTTAAATACTACATTGGGTTAGTTTCATTTGTAAAAGTAATAATTCGAAATCTTTGCGCACAGCTGAAATCTAAATGTTTGGAGGATACAAAATATTGGACGGCACAACCTTAATTCATCACAAATTAATATAATAAAAATATTTTGTCGGATATTTTCGTTGTCTGACATTTAAAAGGAAGGTTTCCTTAAGGGCACTTCCAGACGAAGCTTTCAACAAATGATGCATCGACAAGCTTATTTCATCCAAAGTGTTGGAGGAAACAACTATTAGACAAAATCGCATATGCAAAGAAAAAGTATTCCATTTCATGGGTAACAAAATCGATATAGAGTAATGTGCTCTAATTCGGGTTCATACTATTAACTGCAAACTATACAAAAATCATCATTATGAATCATGACTCGAATCTCTGAATTTTGAAAAAAAATTATTCGGCGATTAGTTATCTTTGGAAAATGAAATTCTAAACTCTATTTCCATTTATAATAGGCCCATAATAATTTGTCTGTTCTGATTTTTCAGAGTCTCTCTTTAGTTAAAGCTTTTCAGAGGGACAGTAAAGCCTGTGGATTTCACAATGTAATCACTCCGTTCTGATTTGTAGAATAATTCTAAGCAGGTTGTTCTTTTTACCTTGGATTCCGAGGTCCGATTGGACGACAGGATCTAGTTCACAAAGAGACTGTTTAACATGTTTGTCTGCAACTGTCTAGCTTTCATATGTTCTTACCTTATTATGTTTTGGATAAAGTCAAATATGTCTTGTGAATGTACTGCGGCAAGGTGTCCACCAGTGAAGCCATTGCATGCAATTTCAGCATCTGCCCAAGAGGCAGGCGGAGAATTATAATGGTAGCAGGAACCACCATATTCTACTCCAGCCTCACACTGGTATTGCGCTACAAAATGATACAATATTGAAACTACTCAGTATATTTTCAAACATGATTTGAATATACATATAACCTAATTTTTGTCTTTTGGCCTTTTCGTTATTGTAATTATTTTGCAAAATAGCTAACTGACATTATTCTTATCTACTTCTGAAATATTACACGAAATCAGGTTGGCTACTTACCATATGATATGTGATAGCTGACGACGAAACAGAGGGAAAGACAAAAATAAAGTCTATTTTGTATAGTCATTCGTTCCATTCCTATGTGTCTATAGAATTGAGATCAATCTCAATAGGTTTATATGCAAAATATTATTTTAACGTCACGTGGAGAGTTAATCAATTTGACTGTTGTCGCTAAGCTCATTTCATATCTACAAATATCTTGAAGATATGTGCCCCGGGACATCGTGTCTTACTTTATTGTTCACAGAGAATGTTATCCATGATAGCGTAAACGTCCTAAAGCACAAATAAAATTATCAGAAAGCAATGGAGTCGGTTGACCAATCGATGTTACCATATTTACACGAGTGAAACTTATTGAGCGTTTGTGAAAAGCTTGAAAGTGAGATTAGGGGATATATGGCTAAGATCTGTCATCTTGTCTCATCAAGCTTCGGATAAAACGTAGTGATTGAGCGTTGGAAACGACGATGCCCAATAGTTACAGTATCCAATGATGATGATAATAATTTGCGTCAATAGGGAGTTTAAGCTTGCAATGTTATTCACAACCTTAACTCGGACAGAAAATATTAAACGATGCATTTGTATGGGCGATTGGTCTTACGTAAAGGTTGGCGTTTCGATTTTAAAGTAAAGCAATTATCTAAAAATGTGCTTCCTATTCACAAACAATTTGTATATTTAAGTTACTAGTTACTACAAGTATATATATTCTAAATAATGGCAGGTGAATAATATATAAGATCGATAGGATTCATATTCTCAGATGGAAGGTATACCATAGACATACTGATCCACTGGAGATAAAATATGCAAATCTACTTCATGTGATAGATGTCACTTTCGTTGCGAAGAAAGGCGTGATTTTAATGTTGAAAATTATGAAAGATTTATAAAAAAAAACTAAAAAAACACATTAAACCTTTATCTAGAACCTCAAAGAGCTCATATGTTGATAGTCTGTAAAACTGTCTCAAGTTTTATTCCTCGATACGCATCTGAACATCGTAATAATTCCACTCCGTATCAATAACCCTATCTGATGGCGGCGAATCATCCATTTTACAAGACAGCAATTCACAATTGTGGGCGACTCCATTATTATTGAAATTGAAAGCATGACAGGAAAGATTTGTGATACAAAGACGAGCACAGTCAATTCTCGATCTTGACCTTGCCACATCAAGGGTATGATTTATCAACCTCTGACCTTGGTAGCGTCGATAATCGCGTCCCTGCCTACGATTATGACCAACCACTGAAAAGTAATGAACACGATTTTAAGTACATGAAGAGGTAAGTAGAGAACATTATGGCAGGCAGATTTTTTCATCATTAATTAAAATATACATCTTTGAAATTGATTCTAAACTACATTATGAGCAGTAATAGTAGTATTAAGATCATTTGAATTTCCATCCTTCATAATTGTGTCCAATTCTGTTATTTCTGTTTTTATACAACGAGGAAGTTCCTTGCTACATAGTTAAAACAGGAAAGTGCATTTTAAATATATCATGACATAGTTGCTATCAGATAATATTACCCATCAGAAATAAAAGTCGTCAATTGACTCATAGTTTAACAGTTAAATATAGTTTTTTACTTGCAAATTTTCGCAAATTTCAATTTTTGATGCAAAGTCATCGCATAATTCGTAGTTTTTAAATTTCAAAATTCAAAATTTTGATGTAGAATCATCGCAAAATTCTTGGTTTTTAAATCACAAAATCCAAAATCTCATTCGCAAAATTTTGAGTAATGCAAACTAAGGAGACAGTATTATATACTTAAGCTGGTACCACAGTACAAATCCGAGAATCTGAAACCTAATGATTTAATATGTGAACTTACGTGTACCTTCACAATGTGTTCCATTCCCAAAGTAACCTGAATTACAATTACATAAGAATGATCCCGGGATGTTGCTACACACAGCGTTGGTGTCACAGTTATGTGTGTTTAAGTTACATTCGTCGTCATCTGTACAAGTTACACCATCTCCGGAGTATCCTGGGTTGCAATTACACGAGAATGATCCCAGAATGTTACTACAAACAGCGTTAATATCACAGTTGTGTGTGTTCAAAGTACATTCATTTTCATCTGTGCAAGTTACACCATCTCCGGAGTATCCTGGATTGCAATTACACGAGAATGATCCTGGAATGTTGCTACAAACAGCGTTAATGTCGCAGTTATGAGTGTTCGAGGTGCATTCATCATTATCTGTGCAAGTTACACCGTCTCCAGAATATCCTGGATTGCAATTACACGAGAATGATCCTGGAATGTTACTACAAACAGCGTTAATGTCGCAGTTATGAGTGTTCAAAGTACATTCATCATCATCTGTGCAAGTTACACCGTCTCCGGAGTATCCTGGATTGCAATTACACGAGAATGATCCTGGAATGTTACTACAAACAGCGTTAATATCGCAGTTATGTGTGTTCAGAGTACATTCATCATCATCTGTGCAAGTTACACCGTCTCCGGAGTATCCTGGATTGCAATTACACGAGAATGATCCTGGGATGTTGCTACAAACAGCGTTTATGTCACAGTTATGTGTGTTCCGAGTACATTCATCGTCATCTGTACAAGTTACACCGTCTCCAGAATATCCTGGATTGCAATTACACGAGAGTGATCCTGGAATGTTACTACAAACAGCGTTAATGTCGCAGTTATGAGTGTTCAAGGTACATTCATCATCATCTGTGCAAGTTACACCGTCTCCGGAGTATCCTGGATTGCAATTACACGAGAATGATCCTGGAATGTTACTACAAACAGCGTTAATGTCGCAGTTATGAGTGTTCAAGGTACATTCATCATCATCTGTGCAAGTTACACCGTCTCCGGAGTATCCTGGATTGCAATTACACGAGAATGATCCTGGAATGTTACTACAAACAGCGTTAATATCGCAGTTATGTGTGTTCAGAGTACATTCATTGTCATCTGTACAAGTTACACCGTCTCCAGAGAATCCTGGGTTGCAATTACACGAGAATGATCCTGGGATGTTGCTACAAACAGCGTTTATGTCACAGTTATGTGTGTTCCGAGTACATTCATCGTCATCTGTACAAGTTACACCGTCTCCAGAATATCCTGGATTGCAATTACACGAGAATGATCCTGGAATGTTACTACAAACAGCGTTAATGTCGCAGTTATGAGTGTTCAAGGTACATTCATCATCATCTGTGCAAGTTACACCGTCTCCGGAGTATCCTGGATTGCAATTACACGAGAATGATCCTGGAATGTTACTACAAACAGCGTTAATGTCGCAGTTATGAGTGTTCAAGGTACATTCATTGTTATCTGTACAAGTTACACCGTCCCCAGAGTATCCTGGGTTGCAATTACACGTAAATGATCCTGGAATGTTACTGCAAACAGCGTTAATGTCGCAGTTATGAGTGTTCAAGGTACATTCATCGACATCTGTACAAGTTACACCGTCTCCAGAGTATCCTGGATTGCAATTACACGAGAATGATCCTGGAATGTTACTACAAACAGCGTTAATGTCGCAGTTATGAGTGTTCAAGGTACATTCATCGTCATCTGTGCAAGTAACACCGTCTCCGAAGTATCCTGGATTGCAATTACATGAGAATGATCCTGGAATGTTACTACAAACAGCGTTAATGTCGCAGTTATGTGTGTTCAGAGTACATTCATCGTCATCTGTACAAGTTACACCGTCTCCGGAGTATCCAGGATTGCAATTACACGAGAATGATCCTGGAATGTTACTGCAAACAGCGTTAATGTCGCAGCTATGTGTGTTCGAGGTACATTCATTGTTATCTGTACAAGTTACACCGTCCCCAGAGTATCCTGGGTTGCAATTACACGTAAATGATCCTGGAATGTTACTGCAAACAGCGTTAATGTCGCAGTTATGAGTGTTCAAGGTACATTCATCATCATCTGTACAAGTTACACCGTCTCCGGAGTATCCTGGATTGCAATTACACGAGAATGATCCTGGAATGGTACTACAAACAGCGTTAATGTCGCAGTTATGAGTGTTCAACGTACATTCATCGTCATCTGTGCAAGTTACACCGTCTCCGAAGTATCCTGGATTGCAATTACACGAGAATGATCCTGGAATGTTACTACAAACAGCGTTAATGTCGCAGTTATGAGTGTTCAAGGTACATTCATCATCATCTGTACAAGTTACACCGTCTCCGGAGTATCCTGGATTGCAATTACACGAGAATGATCCTGGAATGTTACTACAAACAGCGTTAATGTCGCAGTTATGTGTGTTCAGAGTACATTCATCGTCATCTGTGCAAGTTATACCGTCTCCAGAGTATCCTGGATTGCAAATGCAATCAAAATTTCCATCTGTATTTGTGCAATTGGCATCTTGGTGACAGTTATGGGTTCCCTGTGCACATTCATCAATGTCAGCTAAAAATATTACATCTTACTTATGTACTTATGATTACTCTGAATTCTTAGTATGGTGCTTACTAATTTGATGACAATTCTCTTTAAACGCCTTCCACCTAAGAGGGTATATGTTTATTGTACTAAATATTGATTTACGTCGATATCGGAATCGTATCGGATTCGGATTTGTGTGTCGGTATTTTAATTTGTTAAAATTTGTTAAAATCTTACTTTTTAGCGATTCACAGAGGAATGCATACGTGTCGCTACACGACTGAGTTTTCCACTTAGCTTGGCTTGATACATCTGCGAACACACAACTTGAAGCCACCCCTAAGTACGCCGTTGGAACATTTTGCCAATTTAGCCAATCTGCAAACGGCTGCTTGCTAGTCCAGAAGTACAAACCGGATCGCATACCATACCAATGACTCTCCGATCTAGAAAGAAAATTCTGAATAGTGAAGTTTGGTTTTACATTAGAAGTGAGATATAAATGTACATATTAATATATTATCTCGAGGCATTTACATGTTATGATAAACCTGTTTGCTTGAAATGATTAAGAACAATTGCAAATGCGGAAAGCTTGCTAGCTCAGGCCCGTAGCCGCCAGAGAGCGGGGGGTTGAGAGAACTGTACAAGCGATTTTGGCCATTCTGGGACAAAGCTGTCAAACGTGAGCCCCCTTGGATTTTTTAAAAAGTGGACACCTTGGCTACGGGCCTGTAACTGGACCCCGGATCAAGTGGGACGTACATGTGCTTAAAATTATAAGTAACATCTAATTTTTAACTGCAAATACACCATTAGACGGCCTAATTAATTTGGAACACCGCAATAAAATGATTTAATAATGTTTCTCTTTCCGTCAATATCAATTGACTTACTGCGAATTTGCTACTTCTGTGTTTTCTCCTGCTGATGTAATCGTTACTAAATGTGCGCCATAATTAGCACAGTCAAGTCTTGCATTCTCCCAACTTTTGTCTGACTGTCCCAGAGTACCACTTGTGATGTAGCAGCTTGATTGATAGCTGTGCCAATTGGAAGGGCAACTCCCTCCAACAGCTATGATAAAAAAGGAAATATAACAAAACTCGTTAATCATATAAAGCATGGGCTTGAATGACCATGTAAAAGTGTCTATTCCAAAATCCGCTACATCCGCTTTGTCATTTTTTAAGAAAATTAGTATTGGCCAAATCGCTTCCAATTTTTTTTAAGATTATTTTATTTCCATGACATATATAAACATACAATAATACATTGATATGGAGAAACAAGCCTACGTTTGCACATTATTGGCTTGTGAAAATACATTTTATACAGTGGATATTTACACATACAATAGTAGTCATAATTTACATAAATGCAGTGTTCAGATGGGATGAAGATGAGTGATGATGATATGAAATTTGGCAAGGTACAGTATATGACACTGGTTTCACAATATTTTGTTAATAAAATCTGATGATAGATTTGGAGTATGGAGTTAAGCTTTGGTGATAGTTCTTTATCACCAAATAAAATCATATCAACCTTGTCATATTTACGTTTACTGGAGAAAAGTTTGAGGTCAGGGTCAGCTTGCTGGGAGAGACTTAGGAGAAATGTTTGTCATTCCAAATCAAAACCAAATTAAAGTGGCTTAGTTAGTCTAAACCGATGTTGGGGTAGATAACTAAGAAGTGGCCCATAGTCATAATAGATTGGTTCATTGACTATTCATTTTCACTTATCTGCAGTCAAAAAGGTGACACGAAAGGGAAAGTTTCAAATAACAGCAGCGATCATGAAATAGGAGGCAACTTTGATATTGATATGTATGATAGTAATTTTTTATTAAAAACAATAATGGAGAATTATACATTGCTGACCTTGAAATGCCATTTTAATTAAAAAGTCACTGTTGCTAATGATAATAATATTTCTATTTTACCTTTTCAATGTTTTTTAAATGTTTCAATTACCATTATATGTTAGTTTTTGGCAAAGTAAATAATTAAAGGGCTCACGCAAGGATCTACTTTGTTTACAATTTGTTCATATTTAGTGATGTTTTGAAAAAATACTAACCCTACTATCACACCAAACTAGTTCTCACTACGTTCTCGAAAACGGGCTTCAACTGTGTACGAACGGACTGGACGTACTAAGAACCGTTTGGGATCTATTTACAAACTTCATCGAACGTACTCGAACGGGTAGGTCCTCTAGAACTTAGACAATGCTCAAAATGTACTCGGGGTCGTCACGTTCTACAATTAGAACGAGTGACAACGTACTAACGACGAGCTGGACGTACTACGAACGGAACCGTCGTACTTCAATCTTACTAGGGACGTTTTAACAACGAGTTGAACTGTCTGAGGACGTGTTGAGAACGAGGTAGAACTAATTGCAAACGGGTTTAAACTGATTAAGAACGTATTTAACACTGCTTAAGAACGAGTTAGCAAAAATATAGCTATCACACCAAACAAGTTGCCACTGCGTTCTTCAAAACTGGTTTGAAACTGTGTGCGAATGGAATGAACGTAGCTGCAACTTTCTAAGGTCTATTTACGAACTTTATGAACGTTCTCAGACGGGAATGTGATTTTAGAATTTTGAATCGATTCAAAGTTCGATGGCGACCATGCCGTTCTGTAATCAGGTCATGTTGACCTTCTAGACTAAGGGACGCGTTCTACGACGTTGCACACCGACGTGGTGCGACCTGAACGAACTGCGAACGAGATGGACGTATTGAAGACTGTTTAAGGACGAAAAAGCTAATTATTTCAGACATATTTCCCGACCACAGCCAGATTGAGCCCGTTTTACGACGTTTTCGTAGGACTGGCAAGAACGGGTAAGAACTAGTTTGGTGTGATAGGGGGGTAAGTTAGACGCAATTGTATTTGTTAAATATTGAATAAAATGATAATATTTGTTTGTTTCATTGTTTCAACTGAAAAATCGCAATCCATTGCTCTTGCTCTTAGAGCGACAGGGCATATACCAGTACGAAAAGGTCTTCAATAAAGTTGATTCTTGTATGAGCCCTACAATTATTTACTTTGCCAAAAACTAAGGTAACGATTATTTGGATATACGAGGGTTGATCCAAAAGTTCCGAACCGTTTGCTCTAAAAATCTTAATATTTAATGAATATTGTTCATATTTGGCCTCAACCACCCCATATATAGTTGTTCCATTTTGTGTAAAAATAAACATTTAATTTGACAAGTAACATAGGTATCTGGTTACCATAGCAACATGACAACAGGGTATGTGGAGCAAGAAAGCGACACATTGTAGAGTTGGAAAAAAGTTGATACTTGAAGGGTGTATACAGGGTACCAAACGTATTGCAAATTTGTTAGTCATGCCTATTAATCAATTATTCTATCATTAGACCAATGCTATATGTGTGATGTCATTGACCAGAAGAATGTCTTGCGCCAAAAGCAGTCAAATTAAAGCATAAAATCAAGTTCGATTTTTACAATGCGCAATTCCATACCTCAATACTTACCGAAACGTCAATGAAAATATGCACATGCCTTGACTTACCCTTGCATCCATCTCACTATATCTGCCTCCCTCTGACGTTTATTTTTATAGTGACCTGAAGTACAAATTACAAGACAAGACATGCTTATGAACATTAAATGAAGTCTTGCTGTTCTTGAGTGGCTTTCTGAGACAGGTGATGGTGAATTTAAAGATGTGTTTGATCAAAGGGTCAGCAGATATACTAAGTGTATATAAGGGGATAAGAGACTATTTTGCGAAATTAAATCAAGAACTAACAATGAAATATGGACAAATTGAAAAAAACAATTGGTTAATAGGCAGGCATGACTGACACATTTGAAATTTGGTACCCTGTAACACTCTTTTAGAATCAACTTTTTTTCTACAATATGTCGTACTCTTGCTCCACATACCCTGTTGTCATGTTACTATGGTAACCAGATACCTATGTTACTTGTCAAATTTATTGCTTATTTTTACAGAAAATGAAACTACTATGGGGTGGTTGTGGCCAAATATGAACAATTTTCATAAAGTATTAAGATTTTTGGAGCAAATGGTTCAGAACTTTTGGATCAATCCTCGTATAAATATCATCTGATAGGTAAAATAGGATTAAAATGATTTTGAATAAAAGGCATTATTGTTGTTGCAGTAAAATAACCACTATCCTTACATATTAATATCAAACTTCCATTTGCATGTTTTACTGCAGTTATTTGTAAAAGTTTATCGTGATAAAGCAGGCAGCGATTTTTATTTTTTAAATAGGTCAGTTTTCATGTTTCATTTTTGTTCATAAAATGCGTATTCGACAAAGGTCAAGGTCATTTCAAGGTAAAATGTCAATGTTTAGGTAGTTAGCTTTTTAAGACACCTGGCCGATGATTTGACCCTTCACAGCCAATGATTACGTCAAGGTCTGAATGTGTCAAGGTAATTTCAAGGTCAATATAGGTAGTTGGCAACTGTAGGTCTATGTACAGTAACATTTGATCACCAATGATAAATTGACCTAAGGTCAGTGTCAGTGTTTATAGGTCAAGGACGGTCATCTCAACGTCAGAGATCAATATCTAAATCACAGGCCCGGGAACAAGATTTAAATCCCCCTACTCACTGT